CGAGGCTATCATCGTACAAGCCCAAGTATCCTCTCGCCCACTTCGCTCACCCACTCCCATCGCTTTTCCCGACGGCTCAGTACCACCAGCAAGCGAGGAACATGCACGTCTTGACACGTCCAAGATATACCCCGTTACCACCCAACTCAATCATACCCTTTCCGAAATCATCGCCTCTCTCGACCACACCCACCTTTGGACTCTATCATGCATCCGCCCGAATGATTCCAATTCACCAAATTCATTTGATAAGCGCCGTGTCAAGGCGCAGGTCCGGTCGATGCTTATACCTGATATCGTTGCACGCCGGAGTATCGAGTTCGTCACAGACTTTGAGCAGGCCGAGTTCTGCGACCGATATGTACCCACAATGCGTGGGTCGGAGATGGAGCGGATCCGCCAGTGCGCGGCGAGCAATGGATGGAAAGAGGGGACAGACTATGCTGTGGGTCATCGGAGCATCTGGCTGTCGTACGGCGCATGGAAGACCGTGGAAGATGTTGTACGGGCTGCTGAGAAAGAACAACCGAGGCGTTCTGGGGAGGATGCTGAAGATGACGAGAGTGCTGTTGGAGATGATGTGACGGAGTTCACTCATGCAGATGGTGCCCATGGAGGATACGCTAACGAGAGCAGGGACAATTTGTTGGCCGCTCGGGCAAGCAGCTTAGGGTCGCGATACCAGGATCCCAACCGTTTGGCGCCGTACGGAAACGCTGGATTACCTTCCCCTGCCTTGGGAGTCCCTCCCTATGACGACAATGATGCTGAATCGGCATCCGAGTGGGACAAGAAAGGCGGAAGCCCCGGCATGAGCTCGCCTCCCTTCATATCCAAAGAGGGTGAGATGATCGTCCACAAGGCCCCAGCTGCAGTCGAAGAAGTTCCTTCAAGTACTTCACGCCGATGGTGGCTCTTCCTAGTCTGGGGTTTCACTGGCTGGATACCTTCATTTGTCCTCCGCTACGTAGGCCGCATGAAACGCCCAGATATCCGGCTCGCCTGGCGCGAAAAACTCACAATTTTCATTCTCATTTTCCTCATGAACGCGCTCGTCATATTCTACATCGTCGAGTTCGGACGGCTTTTGTGTCCTAACTTCGATAAGGCGTGGTCACCAACGGAGGTCGCGGAGCACACTGGCAACAATGACTGGTGGGTTTCGGTGCAGGGGCAGGTTTATGACATGTCGAACTTCATCCACGGTGACCATAGCGATATATCCGGTGTTGCTAGTAACTCAGCGAGCGACCTCGATGAGCTTGTAGGGCAGGACTTGACGGACTATTTCCCCCCACCGCTTACGCTGGCCTGTCCAGGCCTTGTCACCCAGACGTCATTGGAACTTGTGTACAAGAACTTTACCCCTGTTGTGCCGCTCGCCATGCACGTCTCTGGTGCCTTGGAAAGCACTCAGGGAACCGCGCTTGACAATGCGGGTTGGTACACTGCGACATTCCAGCCGAAGATGAAGAATTATCACAAGGGGCCTTTAGTCTGGACTACGAGTGAAATTGCTGCACAAGCTGCGGACCCGAACATTGAACGGTATGCTTACATGCTGATATCTCCGTTGGTTACTTACACGACTTCTAGTATCTGGGCTATCTGGGAAAGCGGCATATATGACTTGACTGACTACATCAACACTGTAACGATCAATCAAGGCGCAACAAGTGTCTACCAATTCCTGAGCACGGACGTGTCAGATGTCTTCAAACAGCAAGCTGGGCAGGACATTACGAAGCCGCTTAATGCTGCTCTTGCGGGTCTTGATTCTACCACGGCGGCAGCTAACATCAACTGTCTCAAGAATATGTTCTATCTTGGCGAAACTGACTTCCGGGATACACCAAGGTGTCTTGTTCAGAACTACCTGCTATTGGTGTTTACGAGTATCCTGTGCGCGTCTATCGTGCTCAAGTGTACGTCCCTCTCTCTCAGCTGGTTGTTATTCGATAAATAACGTCCCTCCCAGTCCTTTCCGCACTTCAGCTATCTCCCAAGCGGTCGCCTGAGATGCAGGACAAGTTCATCCTTTGCCAGATCCCTTGCTACACGGAGGGCGAGGATTCTCTGCGACGGACAATCGATTCCTTGGCATCGTTGAACTACGATGACAAGCGGAAACTGCTCTTCATCATCTGCGACGGTAACATCATCGGCAGTGGGAACGACCGCACGACTCCCCGTATTGTGTTAGATATCCTTGGCGTGGACCCTAAGCTTGATCCTGAGCCTCTGTTATTTAAGTCGATCGGTGAGGGCTCGAAACAGCTCAACTATGGCAAGGTATACTCGGGCCTGTACGAATTTGAGGGTCATGTTGTTCCGTGAGTGTCTGTCCCTCGTCTACCTTAGTGCGAGTCTAAGAGTTGTTTTACAGGTACATGGTGGTTGTGAAAGTTGGCAAGCCTACTGAGCGTTCGAAGCCTGGAAACAGGGGCAAGCGTGACAGTCAGATTCTCCTCATGCACTACTTGAATCGCGTCCACTTCGATGCGCCAATGTCGCCTCTCGAGCTCGAGATCTATCACCAGATGAGGAATGTTATTGGCATTGATCCTGCTTTCTACGAGTACATTTTCACTGTCGACGCTGACACAGTGAGTCCATCGTCTTGGTTCCTTCATTTATGCTGATGTCCGTTGCAGCAAGTAACGCATGAGTCTCTAAATCGACTGGTTGCGTCTGCTGCAGATGACTCAAGTATCATTGGTATCTGTGGCGAGACTAAGCTCACGAACGAGGAGGGTTCATGGTGGACGATGATTCAGGTATGTTTACACCTTTGGCCTCTACCGTTGCCCAAGCTGACAATGAATATAGGTGTACGAGTACTATATCTCTCACCACTTGTCAAAAGCCTTCGAGAGTCTGTTCGGCTCAGTGTCTTGTCTTCCTGGATGTTTTTCGCTCTACCGTATCCGTACCGCGGACAAGGGGCGTCCTATCATCATCTCGAACCGCATCATTGATGAGTACGCCGAAGGCAACATAGATACGCTTCACAAGAAGAATTTGTTCTCTCTTGGTGAAGATCGTTTCCTGACGACGCTCCTCCTAAAGCACTTCCCTACGTTCAAGACCAAGTTCATTCCGGATGCAGTCGCACATACTATGGCCCCTGAATCTTGGCGTGTTCTGTTCTCACAGCGGAGACGGTGGATCAATTCTACGATCCATAATTTGTGCGAGCTCGTAGTTTTGCCTGAACTTTGTGGCTTTTGCTGTTTCTCTATGAGGTTCTTCGTTTTCATCGACCTTTTGGGCACTATCGTGAGTGCTACATCTTTGCATCCGCACCTCTCGACTTAATTTTTCTTGTAGATCCTGCCAGCCACGGTTGTCTACGTGAGTCTCATATGTATCGAATCTAGCACATTTCTCATTATATTATTCCAACAGTTGGCTTATCTCATCGTTGTCGTTGCTACTGGCAATGCGGCTCTGCCACTGATTTCTATCATTATGTTGGGTATCACCTATGGTTTACAGGTAAGTCGTGTGTTATCACACAGGACTTAACTTTTACTGTACATTTCAGGCTTTGATCTTCATCATCAAACGTGAATTCATGTTGGTAGGGTGGATGGTAGTCTACCTCCTCTCGTGAGTGGCTCGTGTGCAACATTGCGATGCGTATTTATCTCTGTTGCAGATATCCGGTATACAGTTTCTTCCTACCCATTTACTCGTTTTGGTGCATGGATGATTTCTCCTGGGGAAATACGCGTATTGTCATTGGTGACGGAGGTAACAAGAAGGTTGTCATGAAGGAGGATGAGCATTTCGACGAGTCGATGATTCCGTTGAAGAAGTTCAGCGGTAAGTAATCTTGACATTTATTTACTACTCGCCAACTCAAAGTTGAATTCCCAGACTACGAGGCAGAAGCTTGGGAGAATGGATCTCATCGCTCTGACGAGACAGGTTTAACCAAGCCTCGTTCCAATCGTTTCCCTTCTCGCCAGGGGTCTCCCCAGAGCTTCCAACCATCTCTCACCGGCGATTACTATCGGGATACGAACATGACCAAGAACAACTCAAATTCCAATATCCGCGGTCCCGCCTCCCACATCAGCCATGGTTCTCGACAAGGGTCGATGTATGACGGGCGGCAGCCATCTGTACCTCAGCACAGCCTTCCGCAGATGCCATTTATGTCGTTCGGTGGTGGAGCAGGTTCAGTGCATGGTTCGGACTATGGACATATGCCCATGATTCCCCCTCTGGGGTACCAGCACTCTGGCAGTGTATACGGTGGAATGCCTCAAGATCCACGAGGTCCAATGATGATGAACATGCCCATGATGACAGGAGGCTCCCAGACAGGCGGCTTTGGCATGCTACCCGCAATCGGAGGAGATGCACGGCCCCTGTCGATGTTCTCGATGGCGACGTCCGTGAATCCATTCGCTGGTCCGAGCTTCAACCCCAATCCTACCGACGATGACCTCTTCAATTCTCTACGGAACTATCTCAGCACGCAAGATTTGATGACAGTCACGAAAAAGTATGTCGCTTATTGTTATTTTACCGTCCGGTACTGATCGTTTGCAGGACCGCTCGTGAGGCGATCATGGCTAAGTTCCCCAAAGCCGATCTTACATCCCGGAAAGACTTTTTGAACGAGTCGATTGACAAGATTCTGTCGCAGTCATAGAGGGAGCAACATTTTCTATTGCGTGATCTTTATAATATTCCTTACTTCACGAACGGCTCCGACGTGCCTTGAACATTCCCTCGTCACCGTATTTTTCATTCTATTTCAGACAATCGTTTGGTCGCATATATGGACACTGCCGCTCGTCCTGAGAATTATCACTACATCATTGTATCACCCCTCCTGGACTATGCACTCGTACGTACCATAGACTTTAACCTACATAATTAGGTCTCTGGACATGGGTTTCCAATACACTCTTTCTCTTAAATTGATGGATTGTTTGGTGTATTTCTGCTAGCCTTGCACAGCCATCATGACGAACGTGACTTCCGTTCAACCGCCGCACATTGCACAAGCGGCTCTCAGCGTTCTATCGATGTCATCCCCAGCTCATGCCAGCGGGTGTGAGATAGATATTTAGCTATAAAACATGACAGCTCACAAGGTACGCTTTCGAACATCAACGCACTGTGATAGAGGACTACCTCAGTTCCTCATTACCTAACTTGAAGATGCCTGCAAACAAATCCTCATCCGTTGCTCGCCAGCCATGTGTTCTTCCATTTTCCAAGCCAACCGCTGAACTATTCGAGGCTGCGCTTCCCACATTGAAAGAGGAGTCTAGACAGTGTGTCTCTAATGTTTTGGCTATACAAGAATGCTGGAGTTGTACATGCTGATGGCATTTAGATGCATCGAGAATCTCTTGAGTTACCGTGCACGATGTACGCAGGTCAAGTTCCCTCGGCGTCAGAGTGCGGCAGTCCTGGTTCCATTGTTCATCGGTCGTGCGGGGGACCTGTATGTGTTACTGAGTCGGTGAGCTCCTGGTCAGCTGCGTCTTGTTTATGACTGAATTGCCCTCAAAGGCGGTCAGCCAGCTTGAGGCAGTATGCGGGTGATACTGCACTTCCTGGAGGAAAGGTGGATCCCCAAGATAGTAGTGCTGAGGATACTGCGGTACCTATATGGAATTCCTTTTTGAATATAGGTTGACTTGTCCATTTGCAGAGACGCGAGGCCTTTGAGGAGGTACAGAACTGTGTAATCATGCGGGTTCTTATAGTACTGATGTTAGAGGCAAATCTCGCCATAGATTGGGCTTATCCCAGACCGGGAACGAGTACCCTTGCTGTGTGTGATGGAGCCCTTTATTGCTGGTAACAAGATGGTAGTAACTCCGTGAGTGTGCCGCTGGTGTTTTGCGCGGACTGACATAGTCGTTTAGGGTTGTTGTCCTCATTCTTGACAACACTATGCAGGTATGTTAAACTCATGTGGGGGGTATCATTGGATGTTATAACGTTCTCGGGTCATAGCCCAGCCTCAATCAGTCGGAGGTGACCTCGATATTCTCACAACCCCTCGCTTCCTTCCTCACGTCGTCCTTCCCTTTCCACCCATACCGTGTTCCAGATCCATCGGTGCCCTACCACACGACGATAGAGTGGGAATGGAGCGGAGGCGGTCGAATCCGCATGCATCGCTTCCTTACCGGACGCGAAGCAGACGGCGTGAAACCTGTGTCTGGGCTTACTGCGTGCGCTTATAAAACGACACGCCCACAAATATTTACACTGATCGTAGGAGCATATTGATCTACATTGCCGTCTGGGGGTACAGACGCGCTCCAGACTTTGAGTTTCAGCCGCCAAACGCGCCTACGCAGGCTCAGCAGATCGCTTGTGCGCTCCTCACGCCTTCGAGTCCACTACGGTTGGCGTGTGTGCGCGAGGGCATCGATACGAATATCATGGCTACCTTCATCCTGCATACACTGCAGGAGCTGAACTCTTGGCCTGGTATGATTGAGTGGGACAAGAGCGGTCAGGACTGGAGGCTCCCGACGGAGGGACTGATCTCACAGCGCATCAACGTCACCAAACAGGAGAAACATGACAATGCGGATGAACACAAGGACATGCATAAGGAGAGGCAGGAACGCCGTTGGGAAGTGGGGGATGGCGCGAAGTCGGGAGCAAGTGAGGACGCAGGGCAACGAAGTGGCCAGAATAAGCGCAAGGATGGTGACGCTAAACTCTGATGCTCAACAGCGAACACACCCTCATAACTGATGATGATTACAACCCGTTGTATTAGAACTGGTGTCGTTCAAGTTGCTGGCCACGTGCGCAAGAGTAGACCATTTATTAGACACGTTTGTATTTCTGCAATAAACTTACTTCGTCTTGCTCATAGCTATCACTGTGAGCAGTTTCTTGTTACATAAATTAGGTCGAAATCGCTTAGTTGTGTTATTGAATACGAAAAACCAACAGCGAGAAACAAATATCTCAGACCAGAAAAACAAGGATATTACTTTCTAGTCCCTCGTTCGTATCATAATCGCTAGAACACTGCCAAATCCCTCACGCTCATCCACGTTATTTCTTGTCTGACTGTCTCCGTTAGTGTTACCGTCTACTGTGACAGCCGGCCTTCTACAGACACAGTAAATGCCACCGCTGCGTGAATGATCTACACCTAAACGATGCAACTTTCCTGACTTCGTGCTTGTCCTCACAATACTTAAAGGGAAATCAACAAAGATGCTTATTTCACATGTACGAAGAACATATAGCAAGTCTGCCGATCTATACAAGCTTGCTGAGACACTGCAAGAATCAAATAAAACGGTCTACCGATTTATGAGCCAATCAAACAGCGACGGATTCAGAGGGAAGCTGTGCTTTCCCCGTCAATGCCGCTAGACTACGCACGAGCTGATCAATCTGCGTGGCAAGTGCACTAAGGCGGAGATCCTGTTCCGCGAAGCGAGATTCCACCATTGCACTCAGCTTGTCGACTCGTAAGGAAAGTGAGGTAGTCTCATCCACATTATCCAAAGGTTCGTCTGATGTTCCGATGTCTGTATCTCGAACCCGGTCTTTAATCTTGACCAGCCAGTGTTTGTAGGGGTGGTGCACTGTGATCACGTTGAACACATCATGAAATGCACAATCACCACATAGGGCAATTGCGGAATGGAGTTCTGTGGTAATTGTTAACCTTTGTGCTCCATTAAACGTATGTAAATCTGACCTGCACAAGTAAGGCATACATAAAAAATGCCCTTCATCTTAACGTCACATTCAGCACAAGCATAGGAATCCCCATTCGCGACTGAGGTTTCAGCTATCCCCTCGAATGCCACTCCCGGGTTTCCACTTAACTTCTCATCACCTTCCTGTAAATCGACAGAGGCGGAAGAATCATCTAGTCGAGTGGCTTCTATCGGATGCGGAAGTTCAGGTCCATCTGATTGCGTTTTGGATTTGTCTTCTCTCACAGCCGATAAGTCTTCTGGCGGTGCTGCGGCAGGCAGGAGAGTGGAGAAGGATTCCCTGGCATACCGCCGAACCCGGTTGCAGCGATCACGAGGTAGCAACATGCGGAAAACAAGCATGTTATGCGTTGACTTGTGGTCGGATGGGTATTTGTGATCCGAGACCGGCTGAGATTCGCAATCTACACAGACATCATAGTCGTCTGTAAGAAGATTAGCCGTCTTGCACGGAAGGGTTGTCTCCGTCACGCTCACTGGACTCGCAGTCTATACAACGGTGAAGGACATCACTGACAAGGTAATGACATGCATCACACTGACACCTGAACACCGGAAAAGCAGATGTTTGAAGAATGGTAAATAGACAGAAGATGGGCTCACTCGAACAATCGTCTGCGCATCTGGAGTTCAGCTAATGAATTCCAACGCTCGACATCTGCGGGTGGTAGCTCTTGGGACAGAATATTGAACCTGTCTTTGTCGGTCGACGATAGGTAAGGCGGGATATCGTGGGGGTAGAGGTTCCACGTATTGTGCAGGTCATTCATGCACCGCAAGCGGATATATTCTTCCATGGGGTCTTCAGGCTGCTGGCCGGGATTAAATGCGATGAACTTGACAGGTCTTTCTACCGCTCCATTGTCCTCTGTCAGACCAAAAGGACCAAGCTTCAATGCTGTTGCATCGATCTCCAGCTTAGTGTCATCAAGCCCAAAACCGTGAGTTTCCCAGTATTCGGAATCGTCTGTGGCTAACTCTGGACTGTACCAAAAGTTGTACTATTACGAGGTATCAGGCCGGGAATCGATATAACGTTGCTGTCTCCACATACCAAGCCATGGGCATACCACGTGAATCTCGCTTTTGGATCATTACCCTGCTGACGAAACGACTCTGCAATGGTGGAAGGAGATAGCTTATCATGACAAATCTTAGGAACGCACCTGCCAGTTGGCCCACGCGCAGAGACACCCCTTCCAAGATATTTCCCAACGTTTGAGTCGCAGACTCGAGTTCTCTCTCGACCAGAGTCACTGTGCTGGCGAGTTTCATGATCTGTAAATGTCTCTTGATTACGAGGTAAAGTAAAGGCAGCAAGAACTGAACAAGCACAGAGACTCGTGTAAGCATTCAGTACAAGCGCTGAGTCAACAGCCCACATTTTCCATGCGACCAGATCCAAAAAGTTTAATAGAATCTTTGGAGTCAATTTCATACTTGACAATGTTGAGCTTATCCGCCAATGTCTCCTCCTGAGCGTTGCGACGCTGAGCAGTCAGTCGCGCAAGATCCAAGTCCCAATCCTCTGATCCAAGCTCTGCAAGAGAACGGACGAGCCTTTTGATACCTGTCTACTGTGTAAATGCCTTCGTCAAAAGGTGGCAGAGCGACGCACCATCGATGACATATGAGTCCAAGTATGTGGCGATACACCTCCTATTTTCTGGAAGTACATCTTCTTGCGCATACACCATGCTGTTCAAGACCTGTTCAATTCGTGCATGATAGTATTGGCTATCCACTCTCCAGCCTTCACCGACATAAGCACTGGCTCGACCTGATGATAACAATCCTTACCTGCAGCCCAGTATGCAAGTGCTTTTGGCAGAGTCCAATCCAATGGGATTGCGGACGTAAAAGTATTCACCTCCCTTACACTGACCAAGCCATTCGCATCGCCGTCGAAGCCTTCAGATAAACTTGGAACGTAGAAAACGGACAAATATTTTAAGCACCATGTATCTGCAGGGTCGACAGTAGGAAGTTCGTGGTATGCAGAATCGACTGCTGGAAACTCGCGATCTTCTCCTTCTGAATCGGACACGACGGAGACGGTGGGAGTTGGAGATGGGACTCGCAGTGCCAAAGATGAAGCATCCGATGCTGCTTCTGAGAACAGAGCATCATGACGGAGGCGGGAGAAACGGTCCACGTAATAATCATGCAGTTCTGCAATGAAGTATGGCGTCTTGACACTTGTTGTCCATTTCTTGGACATGATAAGTATGCACTTCGGTCACGACTGCACAAAGACATACCATCTCTTTCCAGATATATTGGAGGTGCTAGTGAAATTGACCAAGTTAGTAACACATAAGGTTGAGTTTCATAATCCTTACCAGATCCTTGACCTGTCGAAATCTGCTGTTGAAGGCCCACATGATGCGCGTTTCAGAATCCTTGATGGCATCTTTGATGTCGGATGTCTGTGTATCAAGCTTGAACATGAAGAGTGCACGATTCTCGTCAAGTAAGTTGCGTAACGGAGCACGCAGTTCGTAAAGCAGCGATGCATCAAGGCGGTCGGTCTTTGAAGTAGGCTTGTTGACATCTTTGGTAGCAGCATCAGCATGGGCTTTATTCTGTGGACGCCCTTCCCGTTGCTTGGCGATTTTCAGTAGCTCTACTAGTGTGTCTTCGCTTTCCAAACATTTCTCTCTTCCACCGCGCATCTGCACTTCTTTCTCGAATTTTGCTTCGCGATCGCTTTGCGTCCGGATAAACTTGTCTAGCTCATCCATGACAATATCAACTCTCAACGTCGTCCTGATATTTAAGGCGAGCTGGAGGTCCTGCGTACGCTGGGAAAAGCTGCTACAGATTTTCAGGAACTCGCTCGCCCAGTGGGAGGATCTGAAGAATTTCACTGGGAATGTGGTTCTCTATATGAAACACTCAAGAATATGAGGGAAACTAACCCATGAATTTTGACTTGTAGTATTTGTCAATGGCATTTCCACAATCCTCGATATCTTGTTTTATGCCGTCCAGGACACGATCCAATCGCCCCCGAATGCTGCCGTGAGGTCCCACAATGGCAGGATCTCTAGTATCATTAAGTCTACCATCGATTAGAATCAGCAAAAGTCGTTCAGAACTGGCGTCGGATGACAAACTGGAGAAGCATGTTCATCATGTCAGATGCTTGATATAACATCAATCCAACTCTACGATCGTTTTCTCTTCTTGTTAGTTCAAGATTCACGATGGCCTTGAAAGCGAGGATAGCCACTGCATTTTATCAAAGTATTAGCTGAGGCGGAAACATCGACAAGTGGTAAACACACCACCAACAAACGGGTGAACCTGTTGCAGAACATCCAGGGCCTCCATCACCCTCTTTGCCTCCCCTAGAAAGTCGCCCATATTCTTCTTTGAGAGGTCCGCGGCCGTTGCATCAGATGCTGGCTTGATGGCTGTGGCATTCTGGGTATAGAAATCGTGCGCTGATCCAACTTCTTGAGCGGTCCGGGCGACACAATCCTCTAGAGTAATCTGAATACCACCCTTACTGACCAGGATGGGTTGTCAATGACGAACCTGCCTGATCCCACTTGTCGAGCGTTCTAGCGAAGGTCGAGTTTAAATTTGATGTGGCATCATCAAATACCTTCTGCGTTCGTTTAGTTGTAATATCAGATATGACTTGTTCTCTGTGATTCATGGAGACTGCAGCAGGACAAGTGTTCGTGAAGAATTTATGCAAGGGAAGAGACGGCAGTGATAATTATGTCAGAACCAGCTAATCAACGAAGGAGTTTACTTAGCAGTCAATTTATCCAGGGCTTGAGTCCTTTTCAGTAGCGAGCTGGACCACCTAAGCCCTACAATTAAAGGTACCTGTGGGCCGGGTGTGTACCTGTGCTTCCCATCAAGCTTGATCCCATGAACAAGTACAATTATAGTTCTGACAGCTCATAGTGATGTCCATTTTCTGGCTGCACGTCCTGCGGTATTGTAAGCACCTAGTATTCTAATATTCAGAAAACGCACAGAGTCCGCTCAGAATCAGCGTAGCAACCTGTCTCTGCAGGCTAGACAGATCTACTCGCGCGATAACACCTGCTCGCACACATCATTAGATGACGTCCCATAGGCAAAAATAACACCTAGTGAACATCGGACATTGCGAAAGCGTGTGAGAGCGCGGTAGTGTGAAAGTGA